CTGTTCTGGTGGTCTAAACACAACTCGTTTTATCACACAGTCAATAATGGCACAATATTTAGTTAACCAATCCATACCCAAAATTACATGAAAGTGCCTAAAGTTCAAGGGCAACAAATCCACATATAGAATGACATTCCCAACACGCATGTCACAAAGACGATATACAGATTCACACAATACAGATTCCCCGGATGGAGCAGATACACATAGCAGCTATGGCAATAATTCTACAGGTCTACTTAGTCTAGATGCAAATGCACATGTCACAAAAGAGTGCGTTGATCCGGAGTCAATTAGTGCAAAAGCATCCTGATTACATATACCCGGATGCATAGCAAACACTAACTTATGGGCCTCATCTAGAATTCTCTTCTTTAACTCGGGAATGTTTGGAACACACAATTTGTCTTGAAATTTCAACACCTCATTTACCACACTATATTTTGATCTCAGATTTATTTCAAATTCATCAACTACCTTTTTAAGGAACTCATCCTCCTTCTGTTTCTGTTTGATCTCATCGATGATTGCCGCCTCAGCTAAAATGGCGGCTATCAATCCACCCTGTTCACACAATATCACTTCAATCCCAGATTGAAGATAAGATAGAAAGTGATTTTGATACAGATACGGACCTAGAGTTTTAACTCACTTTGTTGTAAAATTACTTTATGTGTTCTCTAAGTAGATTGTTTCTTTGTTTCTTTGTCCAGCTTGTTTTGTTGATGTAATGGAGGCAATTAAGAATATGGCGTTTGTTCTTCTTGTATTACGTTGTCATTCGCCAACCTGAATTCCTTAATTTTGTGCAATGTTCAACCTCTTAAATTGATGAACCTTGTAATTTGAATTTCATGCCTACTCTTAGTTCTTCAGTAAATTAGCTTTAAATGTGAGTGGACTAATTATGTCTTGTTTCTTCTTCTTCTTCTTTGGACCCTAATTTCCCAAGTACATTCATATTCTATGAACTTAATACCCTTGTAATTAATTTCCTCTACGATTTCTATGAGCTTTGGCAGAAAATTGAAAATCAAATTCATACTCAAGTCAGATTTTCCATTCGGTTTGCTGTGCTGTTTGGTAGATTTTCCCAGAATTTGTGGCATATTTACTCATCTGCTTTGTCTCTGGTTGTTGACTTGGAGAGTTTGCTGTTGTTTTTTGCCACTTTGGCTGCTTGATGCTTGACTGCTATGCTTAGGTGCTAGCTAATGGTAGGATGGTTGATTGGTTGAGTTGGGATGTTGTGTTGGTTGCTTAAATGTATTCATGCTGCTCTGTTGAGGCCTTGTTTTGTTGTTTTATGTGCTGCTGTTTGGTGGCTAATCTGTTTGTATTCATACTTGACTGCTACGCTTAGGTGCTACTATTTTGTTGTTTTTGTGTTGGTTGTTTTAAATGCTTAGGCCTTGTTTTTTGGGTGCCGCTACAAGATTGTTATGACTATTTGTGCTAATTTGTGCTAATCTGACTATGTGTGACTAATCTGTGCTAATCGTTGCAGGATTTCCTTTTAATAACCATTCTTTTAATATGTGGGAATCATGATTAGCTTAAGATTAATTTTTTTCAAATTGACAAAACATTTTGAGAAATGAGAAAGCACAAATTAATATGTTGAATTTGTTGAATCTTGCTGGTTTTAGATTCTCATGGCCTTTCTATGAATTTGTTGAATCTTTCTATGAATCTTGCTGGTTTTGAATCTTGTTGGTTTTTGAAATGTGAAAGCACAAATTAATTTTTTTCCTGTGTAGAGGTTGCTAGATGGACTTACGGCATAGACCGGAAGGCAGCAACTTGCTGGTTTTAAATCGAGATTGGCTTAATATGTTGAATTTGTTGAATCTATAACTCTGTTTTTTCCTGTGGATGGGTCTGTTTGGGTTGGAAATGTGATCTGTTTGTTTTATTTGTAAGGGAAAATTACTATTGAGGAGGTGTTTTCAAAAATTATTACAAAATAGTGAAAAAGTGTATGATTTTAATTATTAACATTTATGAAGTTTATCACTTTGTGGTAATAATTTTTCTGACACACCACTGGTGTGTAGGTCCCCCTTTTTTTAAGCATAGCTGGTACAAGATGTATGAGTGAACAAAGCCATGATTAACGAGCAATTTATTATTGAATTTTGACATGTTGTGTCATTATTGAGGAAACTGATCTACTAAAACATTTTGTGTTGCTTGGAGACGTGGATGGTTCAATAATTTGGTTGGTTATTAGAATGCAAAAGTAGATGCAATTTACTAGTGTTATTATTTTCAAAGTTATGTTATTGAACACGAAGGCTCTACTAAACATTATAAGCAATTGCAGCAGTTACACTACTAATGTATGTGACGTTTATTATTCATGTATGTTTGTTACTTAATATAGGTACCATGGTTCCTGGAATCAAGACGGGGCGACGGAAGAGAGCAACAAGTGGCAACGTATTATCAGCCTCTAAAGCATGTCCACAGGAGATTGGCACCTCGCTGACTTTCTCTAATGAGACGCAGCCACCAGATGATATATAAATAGTTGTCGAGGAGACACAACCTGGTGGCGTGGGTAAGAGCATTGAACTTAATTGTTTATGGCTTTTTTTTTTTTTCTTTTTGTTTTTTGTTTTTTGTTTTTTGTTTTTTTTTCTTTTTTTGTTTTTTTTTTTTTTTGTGATGCATAAGTCATAAAGTAAGACAATGAAAACCCAATAACGACAAAAAAAAACAAAAACAAACATTACTTTACACAAAACAAGGAAACTTACACAACAAAGAAAAACAGAAACAAAAGTTAATCATCGATAGCAGCCAACTACATCGATAGCAGCCAAATTCAAGCTGTAGCAAAATTTACTAACACTTTACGCAGCCAAACAGTAGTAGCCAGCAACAGCAGGTTGCAACAGAAGTAACAGGACCCACAGCCAGTGCCATTTTTTTTTTAGTTATTAGCAATGTTTGTAATTTGTAACTTGCTTCTCCTTTTGTACTAGGGCGAACAAGGTCAACTCGTGTACGAGGACCTGCATTAGGCAAAGGAGTGCAGCAAAAAATAGCTAGGAAAAAAAAGGAGAGAAATTACATGTCTATGTCAAACGGGTGTTGAACGCAATCACATGAGGGAATGTGACCCCAGCAACGAATGAGTTGGGATTGCAAATTAAACGGTTGTGCCCTCTTCAGAGCGTGCAGTCATGGAGAAAAATCGATCAGAGTACCAAAGATGCGGTCGTCCAAACGATGCTAGTATGAGATTCATTTTGCAATAATTTATGTTATTTGTAATTGTTGAAATTAAGTGATGTACTAATTCTCTTATTATGTTTGTAGGACAAGTTTGTTATCGGCGAGGATTTCGATAATGATGAACAAACTCAACAAATCCTCGATAGAAAGGCTTATTTGCCATACATGGATTGGAGATACAATCTAAAGCAGGAGTTCCTCGAACTTGAGGAAACGGGTGTTGATGACCCCTATAGTTATTCGCCTAGTGGAGTGAGCTTGGAGGACTGGAAATATGTGATTGATGTGGCTTGGAAAGATGAATCTCACTTGGTAGCAAAATAATTAGAAACCCCATTCTTGAAATTAATTTATGCGTTAATATGTATAAATTCTTCAATAATTCTTCTTCTTCTTCTTTTTTCTTTTTTTTTTTCCAGAAATGCTCTAAAGTTGGTAAAGCAAATAAGGGTATGCTACCCTATAATCATACAAGTGGATCGCAATCATTTCTTATAGCAATGTCGCTTATGGTGAGAAGTTGTTAATTCAGTAATGTTATGGATGATTGCTTCTTCTTGATTTTGAATATTACTTTATCTAGTTCGTCATTGTTTTTTTTTTTTTCAAACCTAACAAGCAAATGAGGATGGAGATATAGATTTTCCTGAATTTTACAAGAAATCACACAAGTCCAAGAAGACGGGAGACTAGATTGACCCCAAATATGGTGAGTTACATGTGAGTATTGAATGTTGAAACCAATTCTGTTGCATATCAATTAGTAAAGTTGTTTTAAATTCCTTTTGGCAAATACTTACTTGTTTTTTTTCCACGACAGGATGATATGGTAAATCTACAAGTGGTAGCCACCGATGCGGGGTTGCCATTGACCCACGAAGAACTATCAAGGCAAGTGCTGGGGGCAAAAAAAAATTACTTGCGTGGATTTGGGATAGGCCCACAACCCTCTTCCACAGCTTGTAGTGCGGCACGAGCACGTGATAAACATATGGAGTCAATGAGAGTGGAACTTGAGGTTCTTCGTGAGGAGCGTCAAAGAGATCACGAGGAGTTGTTGAAGGAGAAAAAGGAGCGCCAAAGAGATCATGAGGAGCTGTTGAAGGAGAAAGAGGAGCGTCAAAGAGATCACGAGGAGTTGCTCAAGGAGAAAGAGGAGCACCAAAGAGATCGTGAGGAAATTAAGTCGAAGAAGGAAAAAAAGCACGGGAGGCACAACAAGTACAACTCAATCATTTGAACGATGTAGGGTCACGGCTCACAACCCTCTTGCAAGGTTCAGATGGTCATCCTACTATTCGGTAAGAAGAATTTTATTGATAAGCTACTGCAAGTTCTACAAAAATATAGATCATATTGACATACAATTGTTTTCTCAAGTTGCTATTCAAACCTATTAGAACGTTGATAATCGGGATTGTGCTAAATTTTTTTTCCCCCCTAATAGGTTTTGAGGCATAATGTGAGTAGACTTTGCAACAGACGACCTAGTGTTTCGATACATTATGCAAAGGACTTCATTTTGATTTCCATAAGGTAACCACATGATTTCAATGAAATATTAAGTTTCCCAAAATTGGGTACGATGAGCTTCTGAATATAAGGACAGTTACTAAATCAGGAGCCCCATCCAATTGAATGTCATTTGAGATTTCAGACTAATTGAATAAACCAAGTGAACTTGGAATGAATTTACAATTACTACAATATACCTAGTACAACTGGACTAATTTAATGTACATGGAAGCCATTATTGATTCATAGTGAAGTTACAATTACTACAATATACCACAGCCACCAAAAGGGTCTCATCAACCCCTAAAAAACAAGCAGTGCTTAAAGCCTGAATAAGATCTTCAAATTTTCCATGCTTGGGCACAATAATAGTTATTTGGGATGGTGGAGTATCTTCATCAGTGCTCATGATTGTCAAAGTCATTGTCCGTATCATCATTGATGGTAATGGTAATGAGAGATACATGAATGGATCAAAGATAACAGAGACCTTTCGGCAAACCGGACACACTAGTGTGGACCTATATTGACCCTACAATGGCAAAAAATCAAGATGCATTTAATCAATAAGGATGAAAATTTTATCATCAAGAGTACCTAAAACCCAACTATTATCAACCACTCTCATAAAGGGCAAACAATGTTTCCATCTAGGGTTATAAACAGATTAAATTGTTATTTGTTCAATGTATGTCTAATCATTTTCTTTATCTACTACAAAAAAATAAGATATGTAAGACTGTTGGGGAAAATGTGAAGAAGTTAAAAGTAGTCCATTGTTCCTGATATATTCCAAAAGAAATTAATAGCCAAACTCTAATACATGCACGATTCTATGCAATAAAAAAAAATCAAAATGGACATATATGTATCTGTAGACAGTTTAACACATTGTAATTATGCAATGCTCATACATTCAATCTGTAATTAAACCCTAATGGCCCTAATGGACTTGGATCAAATCACATTTTCTTTCTAAGCTACCACTCTCATAGCCATACAATAATGAAGGTCACTACACAGTGTTTATAGCGACCCCGGTCTTTTCCCATTTGATTATTGTATCCGGACTTAGGTTCCGTAGATTCTGTCATTGTATAATTGTTGTTATCGTCCTTTATTTCCTCATTTGGAGTTATAGGATGTGTTGGGCAAGTTTGTTTCAGGTTGGTTGGGTTCGGAAACCAAGTGTTGCTGTCCAATTTTTGGGTTGATCGCTCGAGCGAGGACTTGGTCGCTCGAGCGAGGGTCGTATTTTGTATCTGGTGGCTCGAGCCAGATTTTCTTCGATCGAGCGAGCGAGGTGTATGTTTTCGAGTTCCTCGCTCGAGCGAGCATTCTGTCGCTCGAGCATGCTCCTGGGTTGCAGACCTGAAGCATTGCATTCTTAGCTCGAGCGAGATTTTCTTCGCTTGAGCTAGGGTTTCGTGTGTCTGGTCGCTCGAGCGACCAAGTTTTCGCTCGAGCGAGCCTGTCGGGGTTATATACGCAGCAGCGGTTTTTAAAACGTTTTTTTCACATTCTTTTGATCCTAAAACCCTAGTTCCGAGTTCTCTCTCCCTCTACTCACCTTCTTTCTTAGGTTTCATCACCTTTTAGGGTGTTTCTACCCTAGTTGCTTTATTAAAAAGATAGAGTGAGTCGAGAGCTTCGTTTTAATCTGAGAGTTTGTAGTTTCGGAGCACTTTGGTTTTGGGTCATCATCTCCGTCTTCTCCATTCGGGTTATTTTCTTCGAGGTAGGGAATTCCTACTCCATTTTATAAGTTTTGTTCTAAGTTTTGGTATATTGATATATTGGAGTTACTTTGGTAATTTTGGGAAAAACCCTAGTTGTATTAATAAATTAATTCGTATAATTAATTTAAGGAAATTGGGAAATTTAGTTAAATTCATGAAATTGAGGAATTCATTGATTAAATGGTGTAGTGGGACAATTTAAATCACTTGCCTATTGAATTGTTGATATATTTATTTCCAGTCTAGAAATAACTGTTTTGGGCTATCGGTAGAGGATAGTCGTGTTTGTTGTAGACATTGCATGTGGGTTAGGGAAAATTGAAACTAATCAATCTGTTTAAGTCATAAATTTAGACTATCGAATTAATACAGAAAATACATGTATTGATTGAGCATTGCATATTCATATTGTTTGGGAGGAGATAGGGGATGTACTCCACGGTTTAGGGGAAGATAGGGGATGGACCTCTAAACCGGATTTTGTTTGGGAGGAGAAATGGGATGGACTCCATTAGCATCACTATTATGTGTGCTTATTATATTGAAGTGTTTTTACATGATTATTGATACAGCACTAAAATGTGTATCAAATGGGAAGTATGAAGTGTTTTGATATGAGCCTGAGTCTCATTTGTTTGTTTGATATTGGAAGTAATGTGAATATAACATATATAGTTCACTGTGGTAAGTTTGGCCAGGTTCTGAGCCATATTGATAATAAAGAAAAGTGAAACGTGTCATAGACATTAGTGTCATGAAACTGTATAATGATGTAATTGATTATCTTGGATAACCATCTATTGAATGCTATAGCTTTATTCAATGCTTATATTTGGTTTAGTATTTTTCTACTGGGCTGTGGCTCACCCTTTATGGGAACATCATTTTCAGGTCTAGGCAATAAGCTACCTCCAAGGACTTAGCTTGGAAGGATTTGGATTTTGAAGACTATCTTTAGTTATTTGTTTTTATTTGATAAACATTCAAGCCTAGGGATTTATTTGTATTTGAGTTAGAACTCATATTTTTGTGTCCAAGTGTTGGCTTGGAAAGATGTTAGCCCGTAGAGCATTTAATTTGATGTTACATGTAATGCTTTTATTTAGTAATACTCTGATGAAGGAATTAATAAATTGTTTTCTTTAAATAATGCATGTCAATGGTATACATATAATGGGTTTATTTTGAGGGCGTGACAATGTTGGCCCAGTCAATTTGTGGTACTGAAAGGGCTTCACAGGGTACAGACCTAACAAAGACAAAATGGCTGCCACTGATACAAACCCACATCTTTACACTTGACAACATGAGCTTTTATTAGAGCATCAACCAAATGAGCTATTTTGGCCTATGACATATTAATTAAAAACCCCAAATGTAGAAACTACAGGATAAAAAGGAAGCATGCTTTGATCAAATTATTTGAGAAATACAAGTTTATCCAGGAGAAGATTTGATAATTTTCAATACTTAATTAAAAATCCCAAATGTAGCAACATGATTTGCTGGCTAAAATTCCTTAGTGGATAGTTATGCAATTCTAGCTTTGGGTTCATGTGGCAAGGATTATCTTGTCTATTTTTCCAAAATCCAACTAATGAAGCTTATTGAGTGCCTTTGCCATGGTTCTAGTACATATTTCATTTGGCTAGTTGCCAATAAGGTGAGCTATACCCATTGAGGGAGATAAACCTCTGCCAAATTGCCTATGTGCCTGCAGCTACTTTCATTCTACATGACAGATATTGAATACTAGGTTCAATAGAAGAGACCTGTGTTGCAAAAATTCAAAACAGCGCCCGAACCACTCCATGGATGCCCCAGGTAGCTTCTTCATGTCAAATAGAACATGTGGGGACAGACGGGACGTAATTAGTAGGCGTAAGTTGGGAGTTGGCGTAAAAAATGCCATAAACTTAGCCGAAAAAGGCCTTTGAGGGCCAAAAATTGAAAGCAGCCCCCGAACCACTCTATGGATGCCACGGGTAGCTTCCTCATGTCAAATAGGACCTGTGGGAATAGACAGGACGTAATTAGCACACGTACATTGGGAGTTAGCGTAAAAAATGCCATAAACTTAGCCGAAAAAGGCTTTTCGGGGCCGGAAATTGAAAGCAGCCCCTAAACCACTCTATGGATGCCACGAGTAGCTTCCTCATGTCAAATAGGACCTGTGGGGTCAGACGGGACGTAATTAGCACGCGTACGTTGGGAGTTGGCGTGAAAAATGCCATAAACTTAGCCGAAAAGGCCTTTAAGGGCCGAAAATTCAAATCAGCCCCCGAACCACTCTATGGATGCCACGAGTAGCTTTCTTGTGTCAAATAAGACTTGTGGAGATAGACGGATCGTAATTAGCACGCGTACGTTGGGAGTTGGCGTGAAAAAGCGTCATAAACTTAGCCAAAAAAGGCCTTTCGGGGCTGGAAATTCAAAGTAGCCCTCGAACTACTCTATAGATTCCACGGGTAGCTTCCTCATGTCAAATAGGACCTGTGGGGTTAGACGGGACATAATTAGCACGAGTACGTTGGGAGTTGGCATGAAAAACGCCATAAACTTAATCGAAAAAGGCCTTTGAGGGTCGAAAATTGAAAGTAGCCCTCGAACCAATCTGTGGATGCCACGAGTAGCTTCCTCATGTCAAATAGGACCTGCGGGGTCAAACGGGACGTATTTAGCACGCGTACGTTGGGAGTTGGCGTGAAAAATGCCATAAACTTAGTCGAAAAGGCTTTTGAGGGCCGAAAATTCAAATTAGCCCCCGAACCACTCTATGGATGGCACGGGTAGCTTCCTCATGTCAAATAGGACATGTGGGGATAGACGGGATGTAATTAGCATGCGTACATTGGGAGTTGGCGTGAAAAACACCATAAACTTAGCGAAAAAAGGACTTTGAGGGCCGAAAATTCAAATCGGCCCCCCGAACCACTCTATGGATGGCATGGGTAGCTTCCTCATGCTGAATAGGACCTGTGGGGATAGACGGGACGTAATTAGCACGCGTATCTTGGGAGTTGGCATGAAAAAACCCATAAACTTAGCCGAAAAACGCCTTGCGGGGCCGGAAATTGAAAGCAACCCCCGAACCACTCTGTGGATGCCACAGGTAGCTTCCTCATGTCAAATAGGACCTGTGGGGTCAGACGGGACACAATTAGCACGCGTACGTTGGAAGTTGGCATAAAACGCCAAAAACTTAGC